AGAACTCAGCATTGAAAAACAAGCCGAGGGTATGAAATTTACCTCGATCGGCGGTCAAAAAACTCCCCGGTGCGGCGGCGGGTGGCTGTGGCCGGCTCCTCCGGCGTTTGGTTCGTCTTCTCCGGCGAGGGCAGGCGGCTAGGGTTTTTGTGGTCAGGTGTGGAGGTTTTATTTATACCCTTTTGCCTTTTAATCACAGCCGTCTATCTTGATTAAATCTGGACCGTTCGTACTTGATTGAATCTGGGCCGTCCGTGCGCGTGCATCTGGGTCGTCCGTGCGAACGCTTGATCTGGGCCGTCCGATCGCGCGCACGCGGATCGCCCACGTGGCCCGTCCCTGGGTCGACGTGGTCTTGCCACGCGGCAAGTCCTGGTTGGCCAGGGATGCTGACTGGGCCGCTGACGTGGCGCTGACGGTGCACAATTTTTTTAAATTGCGTTTTGACCCCCCGGTTTCCGATTTTCTTTTCAAAAATACCCCCAGAATCCTAATTTTCACCCCTTTTTCCCAAAATCAATTTCAATTAAATCCAAATAATATTTTTACCCCATTTTATCATTATTATTATTTTTATTTTTATTAAAAAAAATTAAATTAAATTAAATAAATCAATTAAAATTATAAAATTATAAATAAAATTAATAATAATAATTATTATTATTATTAAAAAATTAGTGGGTGTTACAACTCTCTCCCCTTTAAAAAAATTTGGTCTCCCAAATTTGTCTCTTACTCTTGGTCGAACAAATGGGGATACTGGGCTCTAAATTTTGACTTCAGTTCCTAAGTAGCCTCCCTGGGCGTGTGGTTCTGCCACACGACCTTTACAAATGATGTTTCCTAGTTGCGGAGTATTCTGCTCTCTCGGTCCGTGATACCGACCAGTACTTCTTCATAAGACAAGTTCTTTTGGAGTGGAAGCGGTTCATGAGCCAAGACATGATAAGGGTCCGGGTTGTACTTACGTAGCATAGATACGTGAAACACGTTGTGAACTCGGGAGAGCTCGGGAGGCAGTGCTAGTCTGTAGGCAGCGGTACCAATCTTGTCTAAGATTTCAAAGGGTCCAATATATCGGGGGTTTAATTTTCCCCTCCTGCCGAACCTACTAATTCCCTTGAAAAGAGTGACCTTAAGAAACACATGGTCGCCTTTCTCAAACGCTAGGTCTCTCCTCCGGATATCTGCATAACTCTTCTGCCTACTCTGAGCTGTCTGAATGTTCTTCTTGATTTTAACTATCTTGGACGTGGTCTCCTCTACCAACTCCGGGCCGAACAATCTTCTATCACCCACTTCCTCCCAACAAATCGGTGACCTGCACGGGCGCCCATATAGCGCCTCATATGGAGCCATGCCGATGCTTGCTTGGTAGCTGTTGTTGTAGGCAAACTCTATCAGGGGTAGATGGTCGTCCCAATGGCCCCCGGAGTCAAAGACACAAGCTCGGAACATATCCTCAAGCGTACGAATTGTCCTCTCTGATTGTCCATCAGTCTGGGGGTGGAAGGCAGTACTAAGAGACAGCTTTGTTCCCATAACTTGCTGGAAGCTACTCTAAAACCGAGAGGTGAACCTGGGATCCCTGTCGGACACTACTATTACTGGAACCCCATGCAATCTGACTATCTCCCGGATATACATCCTTGCCAACTTGTCCAATGAATCGGTCATCCTGATGGCTAGGAAGTGGGAAGACTTGGTAAGTCGGTCAACGATTACCCATATGGCATCGTGTCCTGAACGCGCCTTGGGTAGCCCCGATACGAAGTCCATGGTGATCTGTTCCCACTTCCATTCCGGGATCGATAAAGGCTGAAGTAACCCACCTGGGCGTTGATGCTCTGCCTTGACCTGCTGACATACCAAACATTTAGATACAAAGTCGGCTATGTCTTTCTTCATCCCATGCCACCAAAACTGGGGTCGCATGTTTTGGTACATTTTGGTGCTTCCTAGATGCATGGCAAACTTCGAGCCATGGGACTCTGTCATGATGTCCCTTTTTAACTCACTGTCATCTGGGACGCACACTCTATCTTGGAAACGAAGTAGTCCATCGGCAGATATTCGGAATTCTGAGCTCCCTCCCTGTTCTGCATCCTTCTTGCGGGCTACCAGGGCGGGGTCAACTGTTTGAGCTTTCCTTATCCTCTGAATTAACTCGGGCTGGACTGTCAGACGGCCCAAACATGTGACTCTCTTCAGATCATGAAGTCGAACCTGTTGTGTGGCCCCAATTGGTCTGCATTCTGAAACCATCAAATGGGCTAAGATACCTGCAAAACTTGGGTCAGATGGTGAACATGCTCTTCTCTGCTTTTTGAGTAGACTAAGATATCATCGATGAACACGATGACAAACTGATCCAAGAACTCTCTGAAAACTCTGTTCATCAGATCCATAAAGATTGCCGGGGCATTGGTTAGCCCGAATGACATGACCAGGAACTCATAGTGTCCGTACCTGGTTCGGAAGGCTGTCTTGGGGATGTCTTCTGTTCTTATCTTTACCTGATGGTAACCTGATCGTAGATCTATTTTAGAAAAGACCTGTGCACCCTGCAACTAATCGAAAATGTCATCAATCCGGGGAAGAGGATATTTGTTCTTAATTGTTACCTTGTTTATCCCTCTATAATCAATGCACAGTCTCAACGTCCCATCTCCCTTCCTTGCAAAAGTAACTCCGGCACCCCAAGGGGAAACGCTGTGTCTAATGAAACCACTGTCTTGTAACTCAGTGATCTGTTTCCTTAGTTCTTCCATCTCAATGCGGCTCATTCGGTAAGGAGCAACCGAGATGGGCTGGGTACCTGGCTGTAAGTCTATGGTGAACTCGACCTCTCTATCCACTGGTGGACCGGGCAGTTCATCCGAAAATACATCTGGAAAGTCTCGGACTACTGGAATCTCTTGGATACAAACTTCCTTCTTGGGCTTACCTAGTTAGAGGAAATACAAGATTAAGGCACTGGGAATTAAGAAAACTTGTCATCAGGGAAAATCAGTACTGAATGATTTTATTAACTTGTAAATGGCTCCTCGTTGGGAGGATTAAATATAACCTTTTTGTTAAAGCAGTCTATGGTGGCGTGATACGCCGCTAGCCAATCCATTCCTAGGATTACATCAAAATCCCCCATGTTTAACCCTATTAGGTCTACCCTCAGTTTTCTATCTGCTATCTCCACGGCACATGCCCTGTAGATAACCTCTCCTAGCAATGTCTCTCCCTCAGCGGTAGATACAAGCAACAATGAATCAAGTCTATCAGGTGATACACAAATTTTGGAAGCAAGAACATGTGAAACAAAAGAATGTGATGCACCAGTGTCAAACAAAACATGAGCAATGTGGCCAGATATAGTATACATACCATGTACCACGTCCGGGTCTGCGTCGGCATCCTTCTGGGTAAGGTTGTAAACTCTGCCCTGGATTGGAGGCCTT